CCAGAAGGCAATAAAAGCATAGGCTTTGGCTGATCATCTTGCTGAAAATCCCGTTTATGAAGAATATGAACCGCTTAAGACATATTTTCACGATGAAGCAGTGTCATTTGTGGGTAAAGATATTTCAGAAGCATACCCAGGTTGGAGATTATTCTTTGACGGAACGGCAAATAATCAACGTAAACGTATTAGAGAAGTCATAGTGTCATAATCCGGTCAGCACTATCCCATGGCAGCTAAACTCGGATTTAATATCACAAACAACATGGCTGAATACGAAGCTTGTATTCTTGGTTTGAAAATGGCCATGGACATTAATGTTTATGAGTTAGTGGTGGCACCCGTATCATGTCAGTTACAATGGAACTGGGACAAAAATTTTGAGAAGGGTCTCAAAATTTCATTATAGGTTTTGCCTACAAGTCCGGACTGACTCCGAAATCTCACAAGCGAATGATCAAATAGACATCTAAGTTTTAGACTCAAAGAAGTTTGTTAAGCCAAATATGACATGATTTGGCAGTAACCTGTTCAAGATACTATTTCTTAAAAATTTTATTTCTCTTAAATTTTCCATTTTACAATTCATTTGTTTTGGCATAAAATATATTGTCTTATTTATCATGAGTCAGGAAATCGGGAAATCAACCAGAGATATTAAGACAAGGAGCAACCAACTAAAGAAATCGACATAGATCAGTATGTTTTTAAACTTACAATTTTTCTGTGGACGCATGTTTATAGCTTTGCTGAAATCGGCAAAGTCTCCTGACGAATGAATACGGAGAACTCCAAAGAGGAGAAAAATATCCCCAAAATCAGTAATTTTACTAAGAACAGAAGCATTTTATGTCGTTTATCTCGGAGACTTGGGATTGTGATTTGTTAATTTCAAGCGATTTCCAACAATATGAAATTAACAAAGAGTATCTATCCACATTCAAACATGAATCAAACAGGAATCTCAACGAAGACTTCACGATTTTCCTGAAAGACGCTATTTGCATTACATTATCATGCAACATAGTTATTGTCAATCAAGAAAATGCATTACCCAAGAGGGGATGGTTATTGTATAATTATTCTTATTATTATAGATCAAGGCGATATATTATTTGGATGTCATTTTGCCGTTATCATCAACAGAGACGATATGAGTAATCATGCATCACGAAAAATCATGCATCGCAGAAATCATGCGTTGAGTTAAATCATGCATCGTGGAAAATCATGCATTGCGGAAAATCATGCATTGCGAAAATCATGCATTGAGGAAAATAATACATTGTGGAAAATCATGCATTGCGGAAAATCATGCATCGCAGAAAATCATGAATCATGGAAAATCATGCATCACGGAAATCATGCATTGCGGAAAATCATGCATCGCAAGTTAGGAATTTATGCATCACGAGAAAATTTCATACCTCGTCAAATTTATATAAATCGCGAGAAGACTTATACATCGCTTGAATTTATGCATCACGAGAAGATTTCGTGCCTCGTCAAAATTTATACATCGCGAGAAGATTTCATACATAGCTGAAAATTTAGACATCGCACAACCTCATGGTTAACTATAGATAGTCAAGGAAAACTAAAAGAAAAAAACAAAAGGGGCTGATGGGGTTCAACACGAAAATCCCTTGTCAAATGAAGAGAATTTTAAAAGGATAGAAATAAAAAGTAAACGTTGATGTTGGGGCTCGATCTAGGGTCACAATGTCATATGTATCAAAATTAAATAAAAAGAAAAATGTGAAGTGTTGACCAAGGGATTTGAAAACCTGGTTCTCTTGCCCAAATTCCGTATTGATACATAAATCATATGTGAATTAAATATTCAAGAATAATGCTACCTACGTAGATTGAAATAGAGATCTTGGCATAAACACATGATGCATAGGCTTGTCCCACATAATCTTAGGGATATATGAATCACTTAAACGAACTATGAGTGAAGTCTCATGACTTGTATGTATAGATCCATAAGTCTATTATACATTTTAAAATAAGTGAACCTAAAATTTATGTAATGAAATAATGTTACCCTATAAGTGTTAAGTAATAGTGTAAGACACATTAAACGGCCAAATGGAATGGCACAAAATTAAATGAAATGATGAAACCATAAAAAGGTCAAGTAATAGCGTGAAACACACAAATGATGAAGTGCATTGGTATATGATGAAATGAATATTCACATAAAAAGGGGTGAGTAATTATGAAGAAAAAATCTATTAATATTAATGAATGTCATGAAAACCTGATATAAGGCTAATGTATAGGTTGAGAACAATCTCAAATGAGCCTAAGTAAATGCTACCAAAACGTACTTACCTATGAGAGTGTAAAGTAAATGAAGAGACCAATCTCTATGAACACTCCAATGAAAGTACTGAGCTTAATACACTTAACAAAAATAATGGGATTGATATATGATGTCCTCATACTAGAAGCCAACTTTCATGACGTATGATTTGAATGTGATGGAACTTTATACTGAGCACCGATATACTAGCTTTGAGCGGTGATGCCTTATTTTGGGAAGGTGGAGGTTCACGTAACTCTAATGAGATGAGACTGTCTGGCATGCCGGCTTTGAGTCTCCTTATATCTCCTAATCTTCGAACCAATACGCATAATATAGAGATCTTGTGTGGTTCAATTCTTATGTACTCTAGCATGTTTTGGGTCACTTTGGCCGATTATTCCACCTCTTTTTTGTGTGGGGGAGACACTGGATTTCATGATGCTCACATGATTCATGTTGGTTAAATTTAAAGTTCCCAATGAATGAATGAGGCCAACCACAAATGATGTACATCATTAAATGCATGATACAAAACATGTTAGGATAGGATAAGGAAGAGGTGAGCTAGACATAAGTAATGAAACTAGGTCATTCTTGATCAATGCACAACAAACTCGATGAATGTCTTAAACTACATCCTAGGCATAGCTAGTATTTACACTATCCTATGAAAGAAATGAAATGTAGTACGTATGAATGAATGAACCAGACTCTGTGTTTTCTAATGAAGGCTCCCTACTTGAGGTCACATATGTTGAGCCTTCATTTTTGGAAGTCCTAATGTAAATTCAAAATTCCAAAGTCTCATGGCTTATGAATGAATGATATGAAAGATGTTATGTGCTATATGCAAAATTATATGTGTTATATGCAAGATGTTATGTTCTGTGTGCATTACGATAAGTATTATGATACATGTTAGTCTAATAGCATGACTTTCCTAATTAAAATTTTGAAGGTTCACTCACTTTCCTAATCCAAATTTGGAATGCTCACTAACTTTACGAGAAAATGTAAGAACTGATAGAGTATACAATGATTTCCCTATAGTTGTATGTGGTAAGACTATGTGTGCAGACATGATTGAGTTACCAATGCATGTTTTGATGTTATTCTTGGCGTGGAATAACTTCTTAGTTGTTATGCTTCCATGGATTGTCGTAATAGGGTTGTGAGATTTTGTTTCCCTAATGAAGAAGGGCTAGTCTTGGAGGGGTACAATTCAAGTCATCGTAATCTTGATTTCAAACCTTAAAGCCAATAAAATAATTCCTAAGAAGTTATTATGTCATCTTGTGAGTGTTAATGATTTAGATCAGTACATTCCTACCATGGACTCAATGCATGTAGTGAATGAGTTCCAAGATGTATTTCCTGATGATTTTCTTTTAGTTCCTCCCCCTCAAGAGATTTACATTGTTATCGACTTATAAATCGATACTTAACCTATTTCAATTCCTCCTAATAGAATGGCTCCAACTGAACTCAAAGAGTTGAGGCTACAGTTAATAGATCTCACTTATTAAGGATTTCATTCAGCTGATCATATCCCCTTGGGGCACTCCAATGTGATATGTGTAAAAGAAATATGGAAACCTTAAAATGTGTATCTATTATCGGAAGCTCAACAAAGTAACTATCAAGAATAAGTATCCCCTTCCTAGAATGAATGACTTGTTCGACCAACTCCAAAGGTCTAGTTTCTTCTCGCAGATTGATCTTCATTCAGGTTACCATCAGCTTAGGGTTAGGGATGAAAATGTTCATAAGACAACCTTTTATACCTGTTATGGTCATTACGAGTTTTTAGTTATGTCATTTGGTCTCATGAATGTACCTGCTGCATTTATGGATCTTATTAATCATTTCTTCCGTGAATACTTTGACACTTTTATCATAGTATTCACTAAAGAAAATTCTTATCTACTCTAAGATAAGGGAAGTGCATGAACAACACTTTAGACTAATGTTGCAGGTACTTAGACAATATCAGCTATATAACAAATTCAGGAAGTGAATTCTTGCTTTGATTAGTGAACTTCCTGGGTCATGTTGTGTCTGACAAAGGTGTGGAGATAGGTGGCAGGTTGAATGAAGTTGTACAGAGCTGGTCAAAACCTCTTACACCCACAAATATTCATAGCTTTTGGGGATTGGCTATTTATTATCGCAGGTTCGTGGAGGGTTTCTCTTTCATTGCTGCATCACTTACAGATTTGACTAAGAAGAAGGCCAAGTTTTAATTAACGGAGGCTTGTGAGAAGAGTTTCTAGGATCTCAAGAATAGACTCATTTCAGCCCCGATGCTTACCTTGCCTAAGTGAGGTCAGAATTAAACTCTGTATTGTGATGCATCTAGGGTTCGTTTGGGTTCTGTACTTATGCAAAGTGGTAAGGTTATAGCTTATGCGTCCATACATCTCAAGGTTCATATGAAAAATTATATTGGTCATGACTTAAAGGTGGCAACTGTGGTGTTTGCACTAAAGTTGTGGAGGCACTACTTTTATGGGGTTCATGTGGATCTATTCACAGACCCAAAGAGTCTGCAATACATGTTCACACAGATAGAAAGTTTAATCTACGTCAGAGGATATTGTTAGAGATATTGAATCACTATGAGATTAATGTCCACTACCATCCATGTAAAGCCAATGTTGTAGTTGATGATTTGAGTAGGATGAGCATGGGAAGTAAAGTCCACGTTGACGATGGGAAGAAGGAATTGGTGAATGATATAAATAGAATGGAAAAACTGGGTGTGAGGTTGGTTGACTCTACTAGTGGGGGAGTTTTACTTCGTCCTAGTTCTTAATCATCCTTACAACTTGAAGTCAAGGAAGGTCAGTGTTGGTTATGATGAATGAGACTGTGTTGATGGAGTTGAAGGACTCAGTGTTGGTTATGATGAATGAGACTTTTGCTTTTGGAGATGATGACATACTTAGGTACTAGTAGAGGCTGTGCATGAGAGGTTGATGATTTATGGACCAGGATCATTGCAGAGGCCCATGGTTCAAGATATTCCATAAATCCAGGTTCCAACAAGATGTGTCATGATCTTCAGAAAATCTATTGGTGGGATAGCATGAAGAAGGACATCGCAGAATGTGTGGCCAAGTGTCCTTATTGCTTAAAGGTAAAGGCAGAACATCTAAAGCCTTGCAGTCTTACTCAGATTATTGAGGTTCCAATTTGAAAATAAAAGGCCATTAATATGTACTTCATGGTTGGTCTTTCAAAGACTAGGAGACAGCATGACTCCATATGGGTTGTTGTGGATAGGGTGACAAAGTCTGCCCACTTTATCTTTGTAAAGTGCACTTACAGAGCTGATGATTATGTGAAACTCTACATTGATGATTTTGTGAGATGGAATGGGATTCCTTTGTCTATCATTTAAGATAGAGGAGCTCATTTCACTTCACATTTCTTGAGATCCTTCAAGAAGGTCTTAGGCACGCACGTGAAGCTTAGTACTGCCTTTCATCCTCATATTGATGGGCAAGCAGAGTGCACAATTCAAACATTTGAGGACATGCCAAGGACGTGTGTGATTGAATTCAAGGGTAGTTGGGACGACCATCTACCTTTGATAGAGTTCTCGTATAATAATAGCTATCACTCCAGCTTTGGGATGGCAATGTTAAAGTCACTGTATGGTAGGAGGTGTAGGTATCCAGTTTGGTTGTTATAGGTTGGAGAGAAATTCATTTTTGGTCCAAAGATCATTCATGAGTCCTTAGAGAATGTTAGAGTGATTACGGATAGGTTTGCTACTACATACAGATGGCAAAAGTCTTATGTACACAACAAAAAATGGACCTTAGAGTTTGATGTTGCTTAGCAGGTCTATTTGAAGATATAACCTATGAAGGGGGTAAGAGGTTTGTGAAGAAAGGGAAGTTGAGTCTGATCTATGTCGGGCCATTTAGATCCTACAGTGTGTGGGAGAGGTGGCCTATTGCCTGCGGAACTAGCTTCTGTTCATCCTGTCTTTCATGTATTTATGGTAACGAAGTTCTTAGGCGATCCATCATCGATTCTACCTATTGAAGGTTTGGGGGTTTCTGAAAATTTTCCCTATGAGGAGATACCTACTGAGATTTTAGACAAACAGGTCAAGCGGCTGAGGAAGAAGGAGATTGCCATAGTGAAGGTATTGTGGAGGAATCATCTTATTGATGGTGCTACATGGGAGTCCGAGGAGGATATGAGATCCCTCTACCCCCATCTTTTCATCTCTTAAGGCTAGACTTTCTACTCTTAAGTCTATGTTTCATTATCTCTTTTTTTTCTTGCTATTGCTTGATTGTGTATAGTAACTATGTTATGATCTGATTGGCGTTACGCAAAATTGTTAGTAGTTTCATTCGAGAAAGAATATTCCAAAAGGGGGGATAATGTATCAAGCCTAAAAATGGCTATGCTAAATAATACTTAATGTGCATAGAATGCCTACGATTAAACCGGATTCACACGTATTGATGCGCATAGAACCAGACCTCTGAACCCTTACGACATCCAAGACTACTAACTTGGGGGGTTATTTTATCTAAGAAATGGTTTGTCCAGCAATGTAGGGCTCCCGACTATGAAGATTTACTAGAATGAGTCTTTAACGAACTTAAAAATGGGAAATCTTATGTTTGGAGGGTCAAGGGGTAAAATGGTCTTTTTTCAGGATAAGGGTACTATGTTTATTATCCTAAATATATAATTAATTATTTTATTAAAAAAGTGGAGGGGCATTTTTATAGAGAGGACCAAAAATATGTCCCTTAGAATGAAGTCTTGCTCCACCCGGGTTCGAACCTAGGTGGAAGAAATGAATTAAAAGTGTGTTTATATATGTTGGTAAATTAATGAAATTAAATAATATTATTATATATTGAATAATTTAAAATAAAATGGAAATCAGATTTTTATAATAATTAACTAAAACTTATTTGACTAAGTCATAAACTAGACTCCTAAACCTAAGATAACTCTCTCCTCTCAGGATCATCTCTCTTTCACGTCTCTATCACTGTCATTCACGTTCTCTTTGACAAATAATGTACAAGAACAGTAGGTAAACAAAATTTCTTTACACTTAAAGAACTCACAAAATAAAAAATCAAACGCGAAGCAAAATACGTTAGGCAAAGGGAGGTTTTCCATCAAATGTTTGGTGTTGAAAAATTGGTTTTGGACGTGACTGTTGGAGAAGGTTTTGGGAGAAAACATTAGGTTTTAACTTCATAAAAGCTATGGATTCTCTTCTCTCTTGGTCCCTTTACAAATAGAACCCTTAAGGTTCAGAATATTTAGTCCGAAAAATAGGGTATTTCCCCATTGCATGTCACTGTAACTAGCTCCTAAGGATTATTAGGTCGGGTATGTTTGCTGGTAGATATTAGGCATGTGTGATGTTTTCGTGATCTACATGTTCTTGTTTTGGTGTTTCAAATCATATGACTGACAACCTACGTATTTTTGAAACTATGTGTATGTGTGGAAAGATGCGACCGTGACTAACTTTCTCCGATTGATGTTCCAAAATTGTAATGTTATGGTTGTTATTGTACGTTCATGAACCTATGTAAATCGTGATGTTCATGTCAGATGAAATGGTGCTGATGAGTGATAATATCTTGGCTAAACGAATCTATAAAAAAATGCACCCCAAAATGTGTTAAATGGTCTACGAATTACCCTATGAGTTGAATTGAAAATGTTGATGAAACTGAACCGAAATGTGACCAAATATCAAGCAAATTACAAGTTCTGTTTTGACAAAACATAGATTAAAAAATATGGACAATTAATTGAGTGTAAATCAGGTGAAGTCACTAGAATTCAAACCGGCAACCTCACCCATGAGATACACTAAAAACGTGAAATGAAATTTGGGTTAAGGTGATTCCGTCTCGGGTATATTTGGCTGGAAAATAAAATTCAAAATTAAGAATGAGAGGAGTGGGATTCGTACCAACAACATCTCCGTGAGAATGTAAGAAAAACTGTAATAAAATAAATGGGAGGCGTCGGAATCGAACCCACGACCTCTAGGCAATAAAGGAGAATTAAAAGAAATATAAAGTGAGGTTGTGGGTGTTCAACTGCAGAACCTCATTGTTAACTTGAGATAGTCAAGGAAAACTAAAAGAAAAAATAAAAATGATCTGTGGGGTTTGAACCCACAATCCCTCGTCCAAGGAAGAGAATTTTCAAAGGATAGAAATAAAAAGGAAACGTTGTTGTTGGGGCTCGATCTAGGGTCTCAATGTTATGTGGATCGAATCAAATAAAAATGAAAATGTAAAGTGTTGTCTAAGGGATTTGAAAAACGGGTTCCCTTGCAAAGATTCCGTATTCATACATAAGACATACGTGAAATAAATATTCAAGAATAATGTTGCCTACGTAGATTGAAATTGAGATCTCGCACTACACCATTTTAGGCCTACGACTACACTAAATCTGAGCAACGCTTGAAAAGTGTTGCCTAAAATATTTTTGGGAACACTTTTTAAATGTAGCCTAATTTTTTAACTTTTCGCAACGATAATATTGGCAACACTTATAAAGTGTACCATTTAATGATATAGACTGCACTTTATAAGCATTGTCATAGTATGAAATAAATGGCAACAATTATGTATATATATGGCCACACTTTTAAAGGGTCCTATTTTTATAATTGTAAAAACAACACTATAGAAGTGTTGCCTATAGTTTCCCTCCAACATTTTAAAATATTTCACTAAAAATATTTGATTCCCTCCAACATTTTCAACTCCCCCTCCCATTACTTTTGGCCAAAGCTGAAGAGTAGAACACAACGCAGGTATGAAAAAGCATACAATTTTTCTTCTCCAAAACTTTAAATCGAAGAGTAGAAGATGGAGATCGAAGAGAGGACGTTGAAGACTGAATAGAAGAGCTGAAGATTAAAACAAACTTCATCAAGCGTAAGAAAATTGAAGAACTGAAGAAGAATCAAAGAAGAAAATTGGAGAGCTGAATAAGAATCGAAGAGCAATGCGATTTCTCTGAACATGAACTGAAGAAGACGATTTTCCTCTCAGCTTCATCGTTCAAGATTTGAGAGCTGAAGAAGACGATTTTCTTCAAAGTTTTCTGGGTAAACTTCTATGCCATCAAATTTCCTTTTGAAAGTTGAAAGAAAATGCTTCAAAAATTTGTTTATAGGAAATCTGTCAAAATGCGGTTGGGTCGACGGACATCACGACGGGACGTCGTGGTCACGACGAGCCGTCGTGGACATTGTGGCGGGCCATCGTGGACCTCGCAACGGGCTGCCGTGGACCTCACTACGGGTTGTCGTAGTCATGAATGGCCGTCGTGGTCATGACGGGCCGTGGTATTGACGTTGAGAATAACATTATCTATGAAAATCTACTTATATTTTAACCAATCTACATAAATTACCTTGTAAAGTTAGAGCATGTTCTACTTGTATCACCTTCTCGGCATTTCGTATTGACTTGTTTCATGCCACTTTGGATAGAAGATTACTTGGATGTGGCTATCATATTCCAGTAAGTGATATTACATTTGTATTTTAATTAGAATTACGTAGACTTGTACTACTTTGTGATTCTTCTTACATCTACATAATCTGTATTTTTCTTGATAAGTTGACCTAATGTATGTTTTTGTTGTGATTATGTCTTGAGTTCTCTATGACTAGATCTTTTATATTGTGTTTGTATGTGATTGGATTTAATCGAATTAATATCCAAACTCCATCATTATTAATTGTAAACTCATTTTGTTGATACTTTGTGATTTCCTTTAGTGAATTCTATGTCCCAAAAGTTTGTGGAACTGTGATACTTGATCTTTCCTTGAACAATTATCATGTTATTATTTGTAATACCCATGAACTGTGGTACTTGCAAGTTTCTTCTGCTACTTCTCTGATCTTCATGATGAACATGCAGGACGGATCGTCATGGCTACGACAGTCCGTAACGCTTTCCGTTACAGCTGAACAAGTTTCTTCTGCTACTTCTCTGATCTTCAAGACGAACATGCAGGATGGACCGTCATGGCTACGACGGTCCGTCACGCTTACCATTACAACTGAAATTTCAAATTGATTAATTGTTAAATTTCTTAATTTTGTGTTCTTTCTTGATGAAATAGAATTGTTTACTAGAGGAATTGGTATTCAAGCTGTTAACGTTGTTTGCGTGCATCATCGTTATTGTATAACATCAAATGTTTTATATTATTTGTTATGAAGTTTGAACCCTAATGCAATATCTTGTTTGTGTAGGGAAATGGAGGTGATCAAATTTGAAGTGGATGATGAAGAGTTTTTGAGCTATTGTAAAAGTTTAAATACATATTTGATTTATTGTGTACACATTTAGAATATTGATGTATACA